GACATTCAGAGACAGAAGTGAAAGCGTTTATCACGGAGGTCCAAAGGTGAGATTTTTGTTTTTGAAATCACTATTACTCTCGCTGGCATGAATTGTTAACCATTTTTAACAGTTTCATATATTTCATAATAGAAATTTACCGACGGCTCAAACTCAATGTCGATATTATAGTGGCGTTGCGTTGAGTACTCGAGACTTTCGGTACGTTGTAGCCAGGTACTAGTAAGTTAATTCTTTTACAGTTCTATTATTGCTAAGGGAAGGCAAGTAAGAAGAAAACCACTATGTGGTTTCTGTATCTACAAGTTTTCAATGTTTAGTTCACCAGCTGTTGTTTTTTTGTGCGCAAGGCTTCACCCTTAGAGTGTCGGCTCTTCAGGGTGTGAGTGTGGGTTTTGTTCACCCTTGTATCCACATCCACATCCACATCTACATCCGCACCCTCATCTACACCCACACCACCCTGCTTTACATATTCATGGTATCTACAGCAGATCTTACGCACTATCATATAGATTAATCAACTCACAAATAATGACATTCATTATTTTTAAAGTTATAACTTGATAAATTATGAAACAAAAGCTCTGAAAAGTCTGACGGCTGTTATTTTCGATTGCTAAGATCTGTAATGGGAAGAGGGAGTATGGGAGCGAGGGGGGAACCGCGAAAACTTGATCTTAAAATTTACACTCACTATTTTCTTCGAAAATATATGTAAGTTCCATAAAAGTATTTCTGATTTTGTTATTTGCAGGGTGATCTAGAATTTGAGAAAGATTATTTAAATCATCCTAAAATTATAACGAAGAACGTAGAATCTTGAAATCAACTTAAGCCAGTTGGAATCCTTCAAAGTCAAAAGTCCACTGACTTCAAACGACTCTTGATAATTTTCTATTTGTTTCTTGTGTATTTCATGATTTTATGTGATTGAGACTTTTTTCGAGCGCTTTAAAACACCTCTTTCCCTTCGCATTATACTTATATTAAATCAAAAACCATCATTCAAAAGACTTTCATTTTGATTTCTTTGTGGTTACAGTTGATTTCAATCGATAATAATCATATTTGTGTTGATTTTTGCTATTATTTGTTTTGCATAAATCAAACGCAATGAAATCGTTAACAGCTAATGCCTATTTTATAGAATACTCTTAAAATTTTAATTAGAGACTAACGATATCCCGCAACTGAAACTCGCATATCACAAGACTAGTCCTGAAATAGTATTCGTTATCGGTTTCAGAATTCGGACCGAACCTGGCAACGACGGGATCCGATCCTTATCCCTTCATCGTGATAAATCAGTATATTCTTAGTCAGGAACCGTGTCTGGAAACCATAATTGTAGCTGGACATTGTTTCCAGGTGCAGAACTTCGTGGGAATCAAGCTGGAAACGAAGGCAGAAACCAACTTTGAATTTGACCATTTCCTGCTGTACTCCCATCACCTGGAACGTGGTTATAATCGTCATGAATACTCATGGGCAGATCATTGTACTATTTCACCTGACAATGTCTTTGCTATCTGTTATTTTAATAGTCACCAACCACCACTGCCACTACCTACGAAGTCAGATATAGCACCGATCAACAAGTCAGGTAAATGTCTACTACAATCAGACTTTGACATGTATATTATGTACATATGTATTATAGTGATGATATCAGTTATGTTGGGAGCAAAAATATTGTGGTGGCTGTCCTCGTGTATGTAAAAACACCTATCTTTTGAAAGACATACTACTTATCAATAAAAAAAAAGTTTCTCTTCTAAAAATGCACGATGTGGGTATATTCGTCAGCTGACGATTGATAATATAAAAGTGCAGAGTCTCGAAAATATTCGTACGCTTTGATTCCATCATTTACTTTTATTGTTACAAATGACTCTACTCAGCCTTGTTCTTGTCTTGTGCATTGCAGCAGCGTCTACACTAGTCACTGGCTCTCCGTACGAACCAAGTCCGCGTATGTGTATGATTTATTGTCAATACGGTTTTCGACATGACTCCAATGGACACTTGATGTGCGTATGTAAAGGAAGTCCATGTGACGATGATGAAACTCCACTGGCAGACTACTTTTGCGGACGTGGTCCCAGTCGTCGTGAATGTCCATCAACACATCAATGTACCATTGCGCCAAACGATGCTTATGCTGTCTGTTGTCCTCGTGCTCAGCAACCACCTGAACGTAATCCAAATAAGTCAGGTCTTTGTCCGCCATCATTAGGTCCCAGCCGTATTTGTATTTCTCTATGTAATGATGATAGTGAGTGTGGAGATGAACTAAAATGTTGTGGTGGATGTCGTCGTCAGTGTACAAAGCCTATCTTTGTAGACTGAATGCGTGAAGTAATTCGGTGTCATTATCATTATTGCGCACAAAACTATCAGAAGAAATAAATATTGGGTATAAAACTATCATCACCACTGAATCAGACTTGTGGTGGGCGTGTATGGGAGAGGAAGAGTGCGGGTATGTACTAAGAGAAAATTGGTACATCCACTATGGATGTGAAGTTCTAGTTTACTGATCATCGACGTCACCGATGTTGACACTAAGTGAATAACAACGACTTTGGTGTAAATGTTGGTAGATGGTGGGCGTGAGTGTAGATGTGTCTGTATTTCTTCTGTGCAGTGATGCCCACGTCAACACTTTTTTATTAATACAATATTTATCAATAACGAATAGTATTTGAAATACGTCTTTGAAGGTTGCTGAAATTTCTTCATGTTTGTCAAATATTTCAT